GAGTTTTAAGCTACTCTTCGTTTGTTGTTCTTCCGTGAAACAGTTGCAGCTGATGTTGTTGTTGTTGCTGCTGCTGCTGCTGGTGTTTCGTGATGTTTGCAATTGCAGTTGCTGTTGCAGTTGCTGATGCAGTTGTTGATGTTGTTGTTGGGGTTTTAATACAGAAATGCAATTATATACGCGGGCGTCGTCTCGACTTCGTTGGTGTCTTTGTTGTGTTGCTGCATGACAAGCAAGTGAGGAGCAGTGTGAGTGTGCGATGTGATGGGTATTCTGCTACGGGGCGTATGAGTAATGCCGCGCAAATGTTTAATGTGTGTGTGTGAAATTGTGAGTGTGTGTTTGTGTGAGTAAGAGAGAGAGAAGAGTGTGTTGTTTTCTTGTTCTGGTGTGTTGTTGTTGTTGATTTTCCTGTTCTTTCCATTTCCTTCGAGCTATTCGAATCCTTTTTCCTTTCCTTTTTGCATACACACTTTGTTCTTGTCTCTGGGCAACATACTATTTTCATAACATTTTGACTTGAATCCATGGGGCATGCAGGCACTTGCAGGCGCCACGTGCAACGTGCTGCGATGTCCTTGGGCACAGCCAGATGGCAGCTGCGCCCAAACTCCTTTTCCTTCGGCTGCTACTCGTGATTGTTATTAATCCTTATTCTGTTCTTCGTCTATCGGTTTTGACTTTAATGTTCGTTGTTGTTGTTTGTTTGTTGGTTGTTGTTTGTTTCGTATTCCTTGCCTTTGACTTTAACTGCTGGTTCGGCTTAGTCCGCTTTCATTCGTTGTGTGCCTTGGGTCTATTGTTGAAGCTGATGCTTGTTCTAAGCCTTGTCGTTATCTTTATCGTTTGTCGTTATCGTTACGTTACGTTATCGTTATCGTTATCGTTAGTGAGGCGACTCTGTGCTTTACTCTCTTGTTGGCTGAAAATGACTTCGATGTGCTAGCATTGACGATAGTTTTTTTGGTTGTATTTGTAAGATACTTTTTATATTTTTTTCAGTTTTCTTTTGAACTTATGAAGCGGTTGCTGCTGCTGTTGCTCTTGTTGTTGTTGTACTAAATTGTTGAATGTTGTTGTTGTTGTTGTTGTTGTGGTTTTCATATTGAGACGACATATTGCATTTTGTATTGTTTCTAATACTCCCAATATCATGCATCCTGTATTTCACCTTTCAATCCAGGCACCCTGTGGTGTTGGTTATGTCCTAAGCGATTTGCTAAATCCTGTACAACATCACGAAATATAACTGTATCTATATTTTCACCTAATAAATACAACAAAAACCAATCGCCCATCTTGGAACGACGAACGATTATTTCAATTGCGTCTCGACGCACTAACCTACAAAGCGAAGAGAGAGAGAGAGAGAGAGAGAGAAAACAGTGTTAGAAAACGTTCACAGCCAGAGCTAGTAAAGGACCACTCACCTAAATCGCATTCGAAATAAATAGACCCTCATTCGAGGCGAGAATATAATAACCACCCTGTATATTAGCGTTAATAATGTGAGTAACGTTAATAATATAAACCAAAACCAAAGGAAAATGTAAATTTTCTCATTAACAACGTTTAATGGTAAAATGCAAATGGCGTCGTGCTTTTCCACCTATTCCAGCAAGAAGATGAAGTAGAAGAAGAAACAGATTGCATTAGTATCCACATCCTCGAGCAGCTGCAGCCTCAATACTCACCTCCCCACTTGAACCATATTTAAAAAATGTACATTTGGTCATTCTGGGAAATATGTAAATCATCGGATCCATGCGATCTTCCTGATCGGTCTCCATATAATCTATCACATCCAAGCCAAATGTCATAAATTCACCATCGAAAAATCGATTCATAAGAAACATTTGACCTGCGAAGCAAAATAAATATAAATTCATATAAATATACACACATATATATTTATATATATATATATATATATATATATATTATATATATATTCAATTCCAGAATGAAATTTTGAATGCCGCGTGTTTATGTACTGTGGGAGGCCATGCAGAGCGTGTTTATAGAACCAAATTTGGAATAGTATAATTTACGAGTTCATTGCCAGCTCCGCGAGTGCGTGAACTCAGCTAAATCTGTTAACAATCCAATAAATTATGTCTGTCAATTGATGTATAGCAATTAGGTTCTGTTTCCGGTCTGTGCTCAAATTAATAATCGCAAAAACTGTATAAAAAGTCTACAAATTAAAGGGAAATTCGCTTGTGCCGCTCCGCCTGTGCGCTCATAGCTGATATTGTTACGGAAGCTATTGAAATTGGATTGCAGTAGATATTTTTTGGATCTCGACAATCGTATGGAGGCCTTGTTGCCCTGTTCTCTAGATCCAAAATCGAGCAGAGTCCACCATATCTTCGACTGCTCAAGTGTTCTTATCGGCTTACTATTGCCCTTCCCTACAGATACATATATGAGCTGTTTTTTTAGGAGTTTTACACCTTTAAGTTGGCAAACCTGGTTTATTTGACAATCCCTGAAGCAGCTACTATTTGTCTTTTGTTGAGTTTGCATTGACATTTGCAAATTGTTAAAGTTTTAATCAAAATATTGTTTCTACTCGTCAAATCTATCGTCCACTTAGCTCACTTTATGGCCTACATGATGAAGCTGATTTGTATATAAATAATTAATGACAAATAATTTGGTATACAATAAAGCTCGTTTCATGAATAATAAAAATATAATAATTGTATTTAATTTGGCTTAAACTTGTGTAACGCTAATAGAAAAGAACCCAAATTAGTCTGCCCAAGGCTGCCTGACCAATGCTAAAATGTGAATCTGTTTTTGAGCCACAAGTGGTTGTACCCGACTGACAGCTGATTCCTAAGATATGAATAGTTTCAAATGTCAAATGTCTGCCCTGACATTACTCCACGATTGCCCCATCAAGAATCCATATATCCTCACATATCCGATCTGACCTAGCCACCCTCACAGTCGCTATGTACTGCATAGAGTCGTTTATACCTAGTTAATCAATATTTGTAACATGCTCACGATCTTAGCTATGCACTTGATCGACACCATTGAGCGTGAAACTATGTCGAAACTAAAATGGAATTGCCTCGAATGGGATACATACGCTCCATTTGCCTCACTTCATTAATCGCATTTCTTGTAAACTCATCAGACGTCAACATTCAATTAGTCTGAACTTTGGTTGAATTTGTTAATACACAAATGTGTATGCGTGTGTATGCGTGTGTGTGCGTGTGTGTGTATACTTGCACATCTATAGTCAAATTAGTCTATTCTATAATTGTTTATTTCTTTATTTCTTATGTATTCTGACAGTTAATTATTTTGCTAGATTTCCGATTGTAGCGCACGTGGCGCACGTTGTCCGGGAAAGCAACAAAATAGAAATGAAAATGAAATCAAAATGAAAATGAAAATGAAAATGAAAATGGAGAAAAAAGAAGCCTGCAATCCGCAGCAGTGAGTAAAATTTGTTTATTTGATGCGGCCTGCGGCTACGGTCAGTCGATAAAAATTCGTCATTGATTTTCCACGGAAAATGACTGAGTGAATTAGCAACATATACATATATATATATACGAGATTTATATATATATATATTATATATATATGCATATCTATATAGGTATATTCTGTATATACTAAAGATATTCTGTGTGGTTAACCCCAAATTTGTTTATGGATTATGCAAACTGGAGCATTTGCACCAGCTGCAGCTCTGCTGCTGCTGATGATGATGATGATGATGATGATGATGATGACGATGATCTAGTTGATCAGTGTTACTCACCTATCACATTTATTAGGGCGAGCAGCTCACACACGTAGTACCTGTACGCCCACCAATTGTGATATCTGCAATGGCACAAATTGAATTATCGAACTGCAGCTTGAAGCTGTTTGTAGGTGTTTGGGTGTGCTGCGGCGCTTACCTTAAATTTTCCCATAAATAATCTAAAAGTAATTTCTTTTTTGTTTTTTCTCGGCTTCGGAACAAATGCCTATATCTAAGTCCATGATGAGCGCATGAATTTTGCCACCCTCCCAAGACTTCCACAGCCATCTTGGTGTGTAAAATAAGATTGCCTGCAAGTAAAGAGAGACAGAGAGAGAGAGGGAGAGAGAGACGCATGAGATATGATCCAGATAGATAGATATGTATATGTATATATTTAGTTCTGTAAAGGTGAGCTGTGGCCCCAGTGCAGTGTAGGCGTCTGTCGTAAAAGCGCTTAAGTTTGACAAGTGACAATTGCCAGCTGTTTGCTTAGCCGCAGGCCATGGCAAAGCCCGGCCAAGTAATTCCAGCTGGCAATGCCAAAGGTATTATATGATCAAAATTGCCTTTGCCTGACCTTCTGCGTGATATTATTATTTGCTGATTCCGTGACTTACTTACAGACGAGCAGGCATAAAAGATATTTTATATACATATAAATGTAGATGAATACATGTGTATGCAGGGTATTTATAGACATGTCATCAAAACAATTAGCTGTGATCCATTAGCGAAAGTAGAAAAAAAAACAACAGAGGCGACACAGCCAACGGGCGAGAGACAGGGCTGATGAAGCAACATGGCGTTGCCACAGTCTGGCTACAAATCTTGCCCAATTAAATGGATCTGTTGTCTGACTTGCTGGTATTTATGTGCGCTCTGATGACATATTAATAATAACTTGTATCGTAAATTTGTGGCTAAATTGTGCAAATGTTTGCTTTGGCCCAGCTCCATGTGGGCAGGTGGTAATCCCCGAGCCGTCAGCGGACAATGGCTTAGTTGACCAGCTGCTGCTGGGTGGCTGTCGAGCGAGGTGAGAGTTCAGTTTGTTTAGTGGCTAAATCATATAAAAATGGCGACTGTCTGCCATTGTCCTGCGTCATCGCATTTGTTGCTGTTGCTGTTGGCAAATGCTAAAATAAATATCAGCATACGATCATGCCATGCGACTTGAGACGGGCATCGCGGTCACGGCGGTCATGGCGGTCATGGCATGCTCTTGGCATCAGCAGCGCCAGCAGGCGAGGCATTCGCGGTTAGCTGGCTTGCAATGTGGCATTATTTTTGCATCTGTTGCAACAATGGGACTCAAATATTGAAATTGACGTTCGGGGCTTGGCCAACATCTGCGGCACATTGTAACGGCAACAACTAAACAAACGGGCGCGTGATGGGCACACAGCTTACAACGCCCTGCCGGAAGTCAAATAAGGCGTTTGATTTGCTTTTTTCGCCTCTGAGCGTATTCTTTTCCCTTGGCCCTCGATTGGGGCATGCCTCGACGATTTGTTTTCCTCTCGCCATCTCGCTTCGACACGCCGCCGCCCCATCGCTGCAAATTGGCTTGGACCGACGACATGCAACAGCAATAATCGAAATCCCTTTTAAGAAGAAGGCAGCAACAGCGGCAGCTTGTGCCAATAGCTGTGGGTGAGGCTGCGTACCGAGTTGCATGTGTGCGTGCGTGCGTGTGTGTCTGAAAAGCAATTTGGCAAGCGTTCAAATTGCCATAAAAACATGCCATAAATGCAGCTGCAATCAAAGCCAAACCAAGTCAAAATCAACAGGCGTAGCCATCGCCGAGCACAAAGGACGCTGCACAGTGGAGCAAAGGTCGACAGAAACACAAAAGCAACAGCAATTAAATCAATCAATTTATCTATCAAATTTAAAGTTTTTGCGAGCTAAGATTGTCTGACAGTGGGCTATAGTAATTTAATAATATATATAATATATGCGAAATAATTAATAGCACCACCATGAATGAAACACTTTTCTGATTTATATTCGATATTAGTTCTCAATAATACTTAAAATATGTATGTTATTTATAAATCTGTATTTTATAATATAGCTCCCATGGAAGCCATAAGTCAAACTTCAAATCAATCAATTTTGAGTATTAAATTGTTCTTTTGGGAATCTCAAAATAAAATTGAATGCAACAACAGTAGAGCTTGTGCCACTGTGCGCACTGCATGGAGGACAAGAGAAGTTTGCATTTTATATTAGGCGAAATTCGTATGTGAACGAACGTCTTGTGGCCACGGAGGAGGCTAGTCGACATCTATGCAGCTCCAGCGCGTGGGCGGGCTGTATGCTGCTCAGGAGACTGAGGGAAGCATCCAGTGCGCCGGCTGCTGGCTGCCGGCTGCCTGATCCCGGTTCCGTGCTGGCTGCCCACTCCCGCACGCGTGAATGAAAATAAATACACATAAGTCAAATATAAACACATGTCCAATGCTCCAACTCTGGCGGGGAGTCCGCCAGCCGTTGTCGGCAGCGTCACGTTGCCAACCCGTCTCTCCCAAGCCAAACCCGGCCCCAGCCCCCGAGCGCCAACTCAACCCATTCCATTCGCTCTCTCCCCCTCTCTCTCTCACACACTCTGTCGCTTGCCATTCGGACCAGATTTTTGTTTCTGTGTGCTGGCATTTGGCCAGAATTATTATTTGTTCACTTTTATGTTTGTCTGTGCCTTTTCAATAAATATCCAGATAGGCAAAAAAAAGAATGAAATGAAATGAAATGAAAAAAGAAAGCAGATTCAATTTTTGACATATTTGAGGGGAGCGCTTGATCGATATGGGCCGATCGGGCATGGAATGAATTGAAATTGGAAATGAAAGGAAACGATCATGAAAATTGAAATGGTAAATGGGAACGGGAGTGCCAGTGGCAGTGGCAGTGGCAGTGCGGGCAGCGAGGGGCTCTGCGAACATGTTCGCCTGCTGCAGGCAAAATTTGCTTTTAAACTTTATAGCTGCATTGTCCAAGTTAATGGCCTGGCCATTAGCGTGGGCGATCGATCCAATTGCTGATCTGCTGATAATCGCCACCCCCGCCGCCAGTTTTGAACCCTGCCTCGAGGTCCTCGGATCACTGAAGCGTGTAGCCATTTAGATATTTTCGAATATTTGAAGTTGATTTCAGGTGTTCCATAAATATATATATATATATATATATATATATTTATATATAAATATTTATATTTATATGCACATATTGGTTCATGAGACTATGTAGTTGTTGGCTACAGATTTATGGCTTTGCTTGTTTTCTCATGGCATTTATGATCGTTGACTTTTATTATTTATGCACAGTACATATGCACACGATCATAAGTATATTCACACACACATATATATATATATATACATATATATATATATATCCATATATTTATATGGCAATATATTGTATGATCGTTTGAGCTAAGAACTGCATCCATTCGATTTCAGGTCGCATCCGTCGTCTTTATTAATAAATCCACAAATTAAGCAGAATGGAAAATGTGTAAATTATAGAAACGCCGTTCACGCGTCATTAAGCGGGGGAGAATACCATAATAAATGTATTTATAGGTATTTGGGTGACTGTGACGGCGTCGTCTATAATCGCCGCTGTGACACTAACCGAGAAAAAAGCAATGTGCCCAGCAGAGGCGTGTCGCGCCGCCCCCTCTGCTCCTAACCCCTCAATCGGCCAGGCAACTTAGAGAGAGAGAGAGAGAGCGAGCGAGAGAGAAGAGAAAACAAGCGAATGGCGACTGCGACAAAAGTGTGGTAAAAATATACATTTAATATTTGGTACATTGTTAGCGGGAAGATATATTATTGTGTAATCGTTCGGCGCCCCTTGCCCCACGTCCCACGCCCCCACTTCGGACTGGCCCCGCCTTGGCTTTCCACTTGAGACAGATGGCAAAACAACGTCATAAAATGCAAGTAGAACAATGGGCCACAAATTTCAGATCCATTATATACTATGTGTCAAAGTGAGCTGCTCGCATTGAAATATGAAATATTTCAATAAATTGGACCATCTAAATTTAAGACAATTACCGCCAAGAATCATCCTTGTGTGGGGCAAAAAGTAAACTCATGTATTTATATGCTTAAACGATGTCACTTCACTCAACATGTGATCTACCTGCTCGACATCGATTCAAATCGAATGGAATTCTGGGCATATTGCTTATGTTAAAACGCATGAAACAGGCGAAAGGAGACATGGCTTAGCACATATCTATTTATTCTCGATCAATATCAGTCGCTTTAGCCTTGCCCGCAAGTATCGATACCTTTGTTTACTTCCATGAAAACGACATGAATTTAAAGCTAGACTAGAGTCAGAGACTTAGTATAGAGTAGAGACTATAGAGTATAGAGTATAGAGTATAGAGTATAGAGTATAGAGTATAGAGTATAGAGTATAGAGTATAGAGTATAGAGTATAGAGTATAGAGTATAGAGTATAGAGTATAGAGTATAGAGTATAAAGTATAGAGTATAGAGTATAGAGTATAGAGTATAGAGTATAGAGTATAGAGTATAGAGTATAGAGTATAGAGTATAGAGTATAGAGTATAGAGTATAGAGTATAGAGTATAGAGTATAGAGTATAGAGTATAGAGTATAGAGTATAGAGTATAGAGTATAGAGTATAGAGTATAGAGTATAGAGTATAGAGTATAGAGTATAGAGTATAGAGTATAGAGTATAGAGTATAGAGTATAGAGTATAGAGTATAGAGTATAGAGTATAGAGTATAGAGTATAGAGTATACACAAATAGGATACTTTTCCCATATGTTTTGTTTGGCTCATATACAGATTAGTAATGGGTGCAGGTATGGCCAAGTCGGGCATTACCGACAAGAACAATTTTACTTGTTTCTTCTAATTTTCAGATATGTAAATGCAGATAAATTAATTTCTTACTGAAATGTGTTTTTGTTTACTTATTTTGAAAGATAGTAAACAGCTTAATGCTTTGGTATCGGATCTAGTTAAGAAACAACTGAACAATTGCAATGCCAATAAATGACTTTAGATATATTAATTCCACTGGGCTGTTAGCTTATTAATTTAATTTATTTATACCTAGTTGATAAAAGAATATTGGCTTTAATTTATTCATTTAAATATTTACAGTATTCAAACTCGATTTAGTGAATGGAGTTATTCCATGAGTCAAACATACTATAGCTTACTATACATATATCAAGCTTTGGCTGTATTGGTATATCTGGCAGAATGTCTGAAGTAGACTAGGAATCAAATATGCTTGAACATGTTCGAGCA